CTGCTGACATGTAATAAATCCGTCACTCTAAATACTATCTATTTTTTAATAGCAATCTGTAGGCAAGCTTATCTTGATTAAGTTCACAAGTGCACAGAGAAGTATTAAAGTTCATAAACTGAGCTACAGAAACTACATACGTGGTAATATAATCAGAAAACAAGAGTGTTTTCAGGGTGGTCTTTCAAACCTTGTTAAAGAGATATTTGTATTTTGGAAGGAAAAAAAACCCAAACCTTCTGTGCACACAAACTCGCATACATGAATATCCTTTAAATAAGCCAAGGGTTATTCAAAGATCTTTTGAGGCTAATTAAAGGCTATTAGGAAATAAAAGTAATTCCTACATCACTCTCCTAGGTGAAGTACTATTGTAACATACTCCCTTCTTGATATTTTCCAGCTTTCAAAAGGGATTTATTATTAATGCATTTGCAATGTTGGACAGCTAACAAAGACCCAGGTAAGATGGACTTCCGCTGCTATTTTGTGTAAATTATCCAGTTCCCACAGTAAATCCATATCAGGTAAAATCTGCAAGAAAAAACTTGGAAAGATGTGATTAAAAAAAAAGCAGCACTTCTAAATTATCTCCTATGCTGCAACCCATGCACCAGAAACTCAAACAGTCCTGAATTGGCACATATGAAAATTATATTATATTTCTGAAATAAAAAATATATATCTTGTGTTGAAGTTCAAATTTACGGAAAGTGTTTACTCAACTGAAATACATTTAATTTATCCCATCACAAGAGATAATTTCTCTCCTATTTTAAGAAGTTACTGAAACATCTGCTTCCCAAATGCATGTTGTTTCTATTCTGGAGATTAGTTTCATTTATGATTTATAGCTGTTAAGTGTTTTTTAGAACAAACAGTTCAAAGAATTTTTTCCATGTTAGCACAAAACCAAGAGCATGAAGATGTTGAAAGAAGAAAAGAGATCGGAAGGAAGAAAACACTATTGTCCAGAACAGTCTGTATACGTGGTGACCATGTTCCCTCGTCTCTGAGTGACAGTCCTGCAGTGCTTGCTGGATCCGTGGAACCTGCTGTCAGTCCGCACCGCGTGTCGGTGTGCGTTTTCAAAGTCACTGAAGGAGAACATTTTTTCCATATTTTCAAACACGTCATCGAAGAGTCCACCTCCAAAGGAGAACTCCTGGAAAGAACGTCTTTGCCGATTGTGAGCTTCCCGGTGACTTCGGAAGTGATTCTCAAAGTGCTTTTTGGAACGTGAGTTTTGACTAAAGAGGTCGAAGTCTTTGAACAGATCATCAAAATTGAAATTAAATGACTGATGGAATGGGCTTCCATTACTTCCTTGTCCTCCATGACGGCCAAGCTGATCATATTCTCTTCGTTTATTCTCATCTGATAATGTTTCATATGCTGTTTCCATAGGAAAAAAAAAGTTTAAAAGTTTATTTACATTCACATTAAAAAAAAACAAACAAACCATAAAACCAAAGAACGGCTTTCTCCCACTCCCTCAACAGGACAAATTTCAAGCACAACTTCCAGTCGACACACAAGCCCACTCACGTTCAACATTTAACCTTCTCCAATCCAAAATAAGCTGTTTCAAAATATTTATAATACAGCTACACTATGAGCACAGATTATATCCTCAATTTTAAATTCACATAATACAATACCTTCTCCGATCCAAAATAAGCTGCTTCAAAATATTTATTTATAATACAGCTACACTATGAGCACAGATTATATCCTCAATTTTAAATTCACATAATACAATGTAGCTTAATTAATAATTACAATTAGTGTTTACATTTAAAAGAAAATAGCAATGTGGCAATGAGAAAGACTGCAGGTGAGAGGATGAGTTAGGAGCCCTCCCCAACAAGATGAACTGCCTGCTGCGTTCCTATCCCAGAAGGACAGTGCTGTGCCTGCAAAACTACTTGCCAGCCAACGAGTTACTGCAGTTACAACTAAGCAACAAGATAAACATAAGAAGATAAAGGAATTAATTTCCCCTACATCCAAATTCCCAATTTTTCAAAAGTTCAACAATAAACCTAGATTTTGTCATTGGAATATACCTGGAATGGAATTAGGTTTCCATTCAGTCTTTGGGCTATAACTACAGGTGTTCCAAGGCAAGAAACTCTGAGAGATAATATACTCACTCTGATAAAATGGAAATGTTTGACATCAAAAATGTTCTTATCTGTCAAAGGCTTGCAACTAAACTATTCTATGTACTTCAGCACTCAGGCCAGGCACACTAAAAATAACAATTAAGGTCTCTACAGGTATACTGGAGAAAAAAAAGTTAAAACAAGAGAGAACGTGGGGCTTCTCCAGAGGGATACAGGCAACCTGCTTACCGAGTATAAGGGGAAGGCTGAAGTACTGAAGTACAGCCTTTTAACTATGTATTATGTCTTTTTTGCTTCAGTCTTTACTGGTAACCACTTGAACCACACCACCTAAATCAGAGGGCACTGTCTGGGTCTGGGAGAGAGAACCACTCAGGGTAGGAGCAGATCAGGTCTGGGAACACCTAGAGAACCTGAAGGTGCACAAGCCCATGGGACCTGATGAGATACACCCACAGGTCCCGAAGGAACTAGCGGCTGAAGTTGCTAGGCCACTAGCCATCATATTTAAGAAGTCATGGCAGACTGTTGAAGTTCCCAGAGATTGGGAAAGGAGAAACATAACCCTCATTTTTAAAAAGAGAAGCAAAGAAAACCCAAGGGACTACAGACCAGTCAGTGTCACCTCTGTGCCAAGTAAAATCATGGAGCAGATCCTCTTGGCATCTGTACTAAGGCACATAAAAAATAATGTGACTGGTGACAGCCAACACAGTTTCACTGAGGGCAAATCATGCCTTACTAATTTGGTGGCCTTCTACAACAGTTACAGCCCTGGTAGATAAGGGAAGATCAATTGACATCACATACCTAAACTTGTGCAAGACATTTGACACTGTCCCACATGACATCCTTGTCTCTACGATGGAGAGATATGGACTTGATGGATGGACTACTCAGTGGCTCAGGAAGTGGCTAGAAGGTCACACTCAAAGAGTTGTGATCAAGGGTTCAAAGTTCAGGTGGAGACCAGTGACAAATGGAGTTCCTCAACAGTCTGTTCTGGGTCCAGTGCTGTTTAACATCTTTGTCAGCAACATGGATGGTGGCATCGAGTGCACCCTCAGCAAGTCTGCTGATGACACTAAGCTGTGCAGTGTAATGAGGACTCAAGGGAAGGGAGGCATCCAGAGGGACCTCAACAGGCTTGAGAAATGGGCCAATGCAAACTGCATGAGTTTCAACAAGTCAAAGTGCAAGATCCTGCACCTGGGTCAAGCCAATCCCAGGCACAACTACAAACTGGCTACAGAGCTGGTTGAGAGTAGCCCTGAAGAGAAGGACTTGGGTGTGCTGACTGATGAGAAGCTCAACATGAGCCAGCAGTGTGCTCAGGCAAAACTGAAGGCCAACCCCAGCCTGGGGTGCATCAAGAGGGGCTTGGCCAGCAGATGAAGGGAGATGATTCTCCACCTTTACTCTCCTCTTGTTATTACATCTCAAATAATGCGTCTAGTTCTGGTGTTCCCACGATAAAAGGGACATAGACCTGTTGGAACAAGTCCACAGGAGGGCCACAAAGATGACCCAAGGGCTGGAGCATCTCTGCTAAGAGGATAGGCTGGGGGCACTGAATTGTACAACCTGGAGAAGAGAAGACTCTGGGGGGACCTTATAACTGCTTTACAATACCTGAAGGGAAGCTGTGGGAAGGCTGAAGAGGGACTTTTCACAAGTGTCCAATGAGCAACAAGGGGAAATGGTTTTAAACTGAAGGAGAATTGGTTTAGACTAGATCTGAGGAAGAAGTTCAGTATGAGAGTGGTGAGACTCTGGGAGAGATTGCCCAGAGAGGTTCTGGATGTCCCCTCCCTGGAGGTGTTCAAGGCCAGGTTGGATGTGGACTTGAGCAACCTAGTCTAGTTGAGAGGCATCCCTACCTATGGCAGGGAGGTTGGATTAGATGATCTCTAGGATCCCTTCCAACCTAGAGCCATTCCATGATTCCATGATTCCCAGTTCCTCCTGCAACAGGTGCTAACAACTTCAGTAAGTATCTAACAAGGTTGTCCCTCCCTTTCACTATATTAATGACTACCTTTCTTTCAAAATACTTTCTCTGCAGACAAGAAGGTAAAACCCAGGTCTTATTAACTTAGTTCAGGAAACAATGCAGATGGGTGTTAAAAGAGAATCTATGGGGAGCAGAAGTGGAAACATCTTACTTTTCAGCAAGCCTTTTCTATTCTTGATTATTCACGTCCACCATTGTGTTTTATCACGAAACACTTATGAATGGTATATTCCGAGTATCACAGGACAATTCTGTTTGGAAGTGAACTCAGAGGGACTCTAACCTCCTGCTCTAAGTAGGGTCGATTATGAGATCAGATTAGGTTACTCAGGACTTTATCCACTCATTCCAGAAAAATCTCCAAGGTTGGAGATTATGCAATCTCACTAAGCAACTTGTTTCCACACTGGTTTACCCTCTAGGTGAAAAGATTTTTCCTTGTAACAACTCTGAACCTCTTGCACCCACTGTCTCTTGTACTACCCAGCATGAACCACTGAAGCACTTCACTGTGGTCTTTTGATAATCTCCCCATAGTTACTCAAAGGCTGCTGTCAGGTGCCCCTAGAAGCCCTAGTAATCCTGAGCTAGATCTTACTAGACAGATCAAAAGATATGAATTAACCTCCTACTGCCAAACATTTTCTCTGACAAGGGGCATAAGCCAAGAAGCCTAATAGGCAGGAATCCATAAATGGTGCAAATGGCCTGACTATGTGCAAGGACACAGAAAGAAGTCAGACATTGATACTGGACATATGACACCACAATTAAGAAAAAAAAAAAATTTACCTCTTATGCAGTGAAACCGGAGTATACTTAAGTTACTACATTTGCTCACAGATACAAAGCATGTATCAATTATTAAGACTAAGGTTAGCACATATTACCTTCAGCAATTTCTCTAAATTTTGCTTCTGCTCCAGGACTCTTATTTTTGTCTGGGTGGTATTTCATGGCCAGCTTGTGAAATGCCTTCTTGATCTGCCGGTCAGATGCATTTTTTGGAACTCCTAAGATATCATAATAGCTGTCTGTAGCTAGTATTAATTCAGTTATCATTAAAATGCAAAGAGCAAACGTAAAGACAGATTGTGTAGTTGCCATTTCTCTGGTTCCTAGAAAGAAAAAGAAATATACTTGAAGAACACTTTATTTCCGGTGCCACAACAACTTGAACAACTATAAAATGGAAAGGGAAAACTTCTATATGTTTTGTGAGTCACTCGGTGACAGACACACAAGCATGTTGTTCCACACATGTCAAAGTCCATTTCCTTACCTTCAAAATTACAGAGTATGTAAATGAAAATACTACAGACTCAATTTTTATATGCATCACAAGCACACTTCAGTATTTCCCTTATCATCCTTCATTATTTTTATGAAGGACAGAGTGAGCTCTTCCTACCAGAAAAGGAGATGATTTTCCAAGGTCTGTGCACGTTATAAATAAAACAGAGCACATGAATGTGAATGCTTGAAGACAGAGTGCTGGCTGTCACCAAACCAACAGGATGCACAAGGCCCTGAACATGCCAGCAGTAACACATCCCCCTCACCAGCTCTACTCTGAGTGCACCATAAGTACAACTTAATAAGAAGAACGGTATTACTTTTCTGAAAGCTGAATAAACCAACCTTAAGGTCTGAGTATCACTGAAGTTCGAATACTTTTAGACAGTATGTAGCCCAAACATTTGTCATGTAGAGTTCAAAACCTTTAACTATCAGGTACATAAGACAATTAAGCCTTTAATAAAACGTCCATACCTTCTAAACAAATTGATGCTCAAGCAGCAAAAATGGAAAGAATACCATTTCTAGTAGGTAAGTCAGGGGGCTAGAATGTTGTGAGGCAAGAGCAAAAAGCTCCTAAGATTAATGTGCTCATGCCCTCTTAGGCATTTATTTGGCTAGCAGCCTGCATGATATCAAGTGTTAAGGAGAAGCAGTTGAAACAAATTGTATTTTGATCAGTGCACTTAGATACCAAACAGACAGTTCCTTTCAGTATTCTTCACACATGATACCAGATGTATTTTTAGTACAAGCTTTTCCAAAGCTTTTCCACATACTTTCTCTCACCAGTTCACCAACCTGAAACTTTGCCACTTGGGCACTGAGAACTACACACAAGTACACGCCTCCACACTTTGGGGGCTTTCTTCATTTGTGCTTTATACAAATTTACTACTTCTCACGTGTGAGACTTTCTCACATGTGAGACTTGACTTTATTTCCCCACACCTGCATCATACTTATATCATCACTTGTTGCATTCTCTCAAGGCTAACCTCCCTGCTTCTAACATATAACACTGAAAAAGAATTAAAAAGAGCAATTTCTGTTTTCCTTTAAGAGCCAAACTCTCAACTCCCAAGCTTATCAGAGCCCGAGAAAAATCATCGCTCCTTTATTTTTCTGCTCTGCCTAACGTTCTCAACTTCTATTACTCTTGATAATGAATTACACCCAAGTTTTCCCTTTTCTGCAGTTTACATTAGGATTTTTGTCATGCAGTTCTATGCTATACTGCCCCCAGTTTTATCTAGATTTCTAAAGCATATTAAGGAGAAAAAAAAAAAATCTGTACTGAAATTTCACTGGTTTCAAAATAATGTTGACAGACTTTATGTTTGAACAATTCAAACAAACACAGATATAAGTAAAACTAAATGTAAATGAAAATCAAACATAAATGAAACTCCAATATAATCATCATTTTAAAATTACAAGGTTATCACAAAGACACAGTAAATCTTATATTTAGACACTGTCATCAATTATCAAATTTATTTTTAGAAAATACCTATTTTATATGCTGCAGCATCTTAGTGTTGCTGCTGTTGCTAAAATCCTAAATGTGATCACTCGTAACTACTTGCACAATCACTCTCAAAATTAAATTTCTTTTAAACACTTACTCTGCTTACGTGTCTTCTGTTTCCCAATAAAGAAGGGACAGATAAGTTCCGCCTTCCAGGCCACGCACAGTAGTTACTTAAAATGTATTCCACAATTCATTAAGTTCTGTATACTTCTTGACACTAAGCTTATGCCACAAAACAGTCCCTCCTAATAATCATGAAGTACATTTTATTTGGATGCATCTAGCAATGAAGTTAGAGATCAGCTATTTAACTCTGTTGGGTAAGTAGTTATAGATCTTGACTACTATAAAGCTTGGAATAAGAAGTATACTGTCTAATGTATATCAAAAGTATCACAGAGGTCATAACACTCCATCACTTCTTTATCAGATCATCCACATTTATAAATAGCTGCACTATGAAGTGATGTATAAATACGGTGCACCTGGAATAAACTGTCACATATAGAAGCTAAGGAGCTACTTCCATCTCGCACTGCAAATGCCCTATTCCATCCCTCTTTGAAAGTAATTAGCAAAGATCTTGGGTAAATACTTATATTCACTAAGTCCCACACACTCAGAAAATACATAGCATCATTACTGCTCTGATTACATGAATTGCAACGCACTATCCAGTGGGGCTCTGATGTCCTATGACTATTATTGAAAACGATTTATTAGCAGTAATAAAGTTACCCAAGTTTTCCATTGGTTCTCATCACGACTAACTCGATGAATAAGCAAGTCTCCTAGTCCACAGCCAGCTACCGGAAAGTTTGTGAAACAGCGGGACTTGTACTTCTTTGCCTCTCCTGTGCTGACTAGAAAGCACATCTAAGAGAAGGCTCACGAATCTTGCCCTCTGCAAGAGGGAAACAAGACACAGCTTCCCCTGGCACCACGCTCCCTAGCCAGACCCCTGAAGAACCTCGCTAGAGATGAGCCACATAACGAGGCCGAGCCGGACCTCGGCAGATAGTACCAGCGACACTAAGCGACGCTGCCCCACTTCCAAATCGGCAGGGCTTGGGAAAAACCACACTAGATGGGCCTAGCAAGAAGGAAGAGCTTAGAGGAGCCCAAAGAGGAAACAAACCCACCAGATCAGTGCCAGCGCCCCCTCTTTCCCCCACCCTTCCCCACCTCGCGCCCCAGCCCCCCCAGCGCTCCC